AAATACTTTTTATTTTTTTTTAATTTGAAAAGTCACTGACATAATATTTTTTATTTTTAATTAAAATATATTTCAATAATATTTTTTTTTAAATATAAGTACTTTTTGATATATTTGTTTCATTTTATATATGTAAGTATTTTTTTTAGTTCAAAAAATGTTTAGTGACTTTCATAATCGCTCAAAATATGAAAGTCCATTGGTTTTTTCAAGGTTTTTTTTTATTATTTTACCACATTAATCAGTTTTATAGGTCATAAGAATGTATCTAACAGGTTTTGAAATGTACAAGAAATTATTTATTCCAAAAAATTATCCAACAACTTAATCATTCTGAATAATAAAGTCTATTGAGTTTTTTAGACTTTTCTTTAAAATATAAATAAAATTAGTCATGAAAAATAAGATTGTATTCCAATTTTCAGTTGGTTCGTATAAGACGATAAAATGTGAATTGAATATAAAAGAGCTTTCTACAAGCTTCATTTTAAAAAGATTTTGAATGATAATAAGTCATTGCTGGAAAAGGCATGATACTAAAATCTATTTCCTATGGAAAAAGTTATAAAAAATATTTGATCTATTTTGAACTAATTAATATATAAGGGTTTCTTCAATTGTTAGTCTAATAATTGATGTTAACTATATGAACCAATCTTAATATTTTTTTTTTTTTTGAATAACCTGGATATTCAACCCGCTATGAGAGCCGACTAATCCCAGGACGACCACTTGTTTTGCAGATTGCCTGAAGTCACCGCATTTTAACCTCTGTGACCACAAGGGGATTTTTATTTCTCCTTGGATTTGAATCTGAGATCTCCTGGTACTTTTGACCTTTGGAGCCAAACTCAAACCAATCATACACTAACCTTGTGGTTTATCTTAGTATTTAATTTCTCTCATCTACTAATGAAATTGATCGGTGGTAATTTTGTAATAAGATTGAAACAGATGTGTGTGAAAAACAATGAACAAGGGTAATTTTGAAAAAGATCAAAGTGACATTTTAGTCAATTTTTAATTGAGGAAGTTAAGGAATGTTACAAAAAAGAGTTGCATCATTTTAGGAATGATAATTATATTATCTCTTTAAGTTTCTCAAGTTTTTCGATGAACAAATTTACCAAAGGAGAATGATGCAGATTCAACTTGAACAAGTTCATAAGTGAAACTATGTTAATTACTAAAACTTATTCATAAGTGAAACTATGTTAATTACTAAAACTTATTCATAAGTGAACTGTGTTAGTGAGTGAATCATGTTCATAAGTGAACTATGACATAATAAATTAGTGTGTATGTGTTCACAAGTAATCATGAACATATTCACACTATAAAACAACGTTTATTATACTGATCAATGTCTTGTTCATAGATGAACACTTATCATAAGTGCATTTGGATCATAAATGAAACTTGTTCATTAGTTTCACTTATAAACTTGTTCAAATTGAATCTACATCATTCTCCCTGTGTAAACTTGTTCATTGAGAAACTTGAAAGAGATAATACAATTTTTATCCCTAAAATCATGCAACTCTTTTTTGTAACATCCCATTAAATTAATTAATTAAAAAATAACTAAAAACTGAAATTACTTTTGCGCCCTTAATAATTGGCTCCAACATGTTAACTAACAAGGACTAAGGGGTTATTCAGTTGATTTTCTATCAAGTCCTTTATGGATAAAGTTTTTTATATCGAGATAGATGTCTGTATGGATTTAACTAAATTGATGTTCGGTTGTTGTGTTGAATAAACAATCTGAATGGTATAAATCACTATTTTACCCTTTAAGTTATATTAAACAATCTTTGTAGATAAAAATTTACAACATAACAACAATATTTGCTGCAAATTTTAAAGAAAGTAGTAGATCAAACAAGAACAAGAAAATTGTAAGAACTTTGCACACAAATCATCAAACAACAAAATTTTACGGTAAATCATTGTAGATCAATCGTATTACATGAAGCACTCATATAACAAACTCATATCAATAACAACAAACAAATCAAATATAATTTGTTATTGAATCAAATTAAACCACGTAAAAAAAACCCTAAATTAAAAAAACCTCAAGAAAGGTCAGAACCATATTCAAGAGTAGGTGATGTGTAAAGCATTTGAATCTCTCTTTTGTAGAAATCGAGAGTTTGAGAGATCTATGTGACATGATTTCTTTTTCAAGAGGGGTCAGAACCATACTCTTTGAAGGATTTCTGTTGATCCTCTCTCTCAGTGATTTGATGATAATCTTTTTTTCCCTTTCACGTTGTATTTGTGCTTCTGTATTTTCAGTTTCAACGATCATCACTGAGTATGTTCAGTGATCGCTGAAGAACTTGCTTTGTAAATTCATCAGAGACAGCAATACTTCAAGAAG